AGAAATGAACACTGGGCTGTGAGCATTTTATTACACTTATAACACCATCGGCTGTGGCCGGAAAACCAGAAATACAATGATTACATGATTTTTCTGGGTCGCCGTGGAAACGGCCTTTATGTGCAGGCAAGCGGGCCGTGGTACCAGCTTGTTTACTGCAAAATACACTGGAACAGTCGCATTTTCTGGAACTGAACGAGCGAAAAGTTTTTGGTGGAAGTCTGGAACCGGCGAGACTAAATTTTTATCTGCTGCGAGAGCCGGGATCGAACACGGGTCTCTCGCGTGAAAGCTTCGGGTTCCGCCACTGGGCCACAGGGAGAACTACACTAGCGCAAGCAGATAAGAGAGCGTCATCACAGTTTTGTGTGTGTCAGCGTTTGTATGCAGGTGTGCGTGTTATACAACAGGCTCATTGCTGCAATAATGACATTTTCAGCCGCTCAAACTAGGAGCTGAGAAATGTTTAAGAAATGGAGATTAGTCCGGCCTCGGCGGGGACTAAAACACACTCTTTTCTCATTTGCCGGTGACGCACGCCCATGGGGGGCGGGGTAGATTTCTTATAACGTAAAGAAAGCTAGCCGCGGTTTTAGGGCTCGCGGTCTTGATGCTGGCCCGTTTCCTTGACGACTCGCGGACAGAAGGCGGAGGTCCACAGAGCTCGCCTGTTGCGCGGCGGTTGCGCGGGCGCCTCCCAATCGAGGCCGATGCTTTCCACGGCCTGAGAGAGCAGACGCATCAGCTCAGTCTCAATGCCGGCTCTCTTACCAGTGGTCTGGCGGGAAACGCTAGCGGAGCGGAGGTCCACGGAGCTCGCCCAATCCTCGCTATCGGATGCCAGAAGAGAACAAGCCTCGGTGGGTTCGTCGAACTCGTGGATGGACGCGGCGGCAGGCGGCGGCCGTTGTCCGTCAGTCAGCGACTCAAGCGAAGCCGGCGAAGCTGGCGGGCGAACCGGCGAGCTTTGGCGGGCTGGAGAAAGCTCGGGAGCGAGCTGGGCGCGGCGCTTCTTGCGGCGCGGCACCACGGCGGGCTGTGGTGAAGGCTCGGAGAATGATGCCAGGCGAGTCCTCAGAGTCACCATAGGCAAAAACTCGCAATGAGGGCATCCGCCGTCAGCGAGCGCGAGAGCCGCGTGATCCTCACCCAGGCAGGAAACACAGATGACGTGCCGGTCTCCATCGCTGAGCGGGGCGCGGCACGAGCCACAGGATGGCATCTTTAAAAAGACGCAGCTCTTTTGTGAGAGAAGTGTGAGTCGCGTCAAGTAAGCGAGCAAACACTCTCAACAGAGTAAATACACACAGAGTATAAAAGGATATAGAACGCCGGAAAGCGCAGCAGGTACAGCAGTTGAAGGCGGCGAGGCCAGCGACTCCAGAGCTCGTCCCGCTGAAAGGCTTGCTTCGACGGCGCGGCTTCTCACTCCAGCAATGCGTGTGCGTCGCTGAAGAGATAAAAACCAGCTTGTACCAGCCTAACGAGCATATTTATAGGGTGAGACCACGCCCCTTCTGGCGGGACGTGACGATATGGGCGCGAATTGCCCCCATTGGTCATTACGTCACGCAGAGTCTCTCTCGATAGGCTGCTGCATTTGCTGCAGAGCAGCCAATAGGCGCGCGAGCTGTTTCGCCTATGTCTGCTTGCTGCTGCAAAGCGTTTTACATTAATAAAAAATTAAGGATAATTTTTGGCTTCAATATCTCGTGGAAAAGAGTTTTTCCCCTAGCGTAAGCTATTACGCAGTACGAGAGATACTCTCGTAAGAGAACTGGTCCATATGCACTGGTCCAAGATTTCTATTTAGGAAAATAAAGAATTTCAGTACCAGTCAAAAAATAATGTGAACATTTTTTGCAAATTATTTTCAGACTGTTGAATGTTAGTGCATTCAAGTATAATGTGCAAGTATATTGTAGGCCTATATTTAATTAACGTGCAGCTATTAGTTGACTAATAACAGATTTAAAGCTTTCCTATAACTGTAAAGCAATATGAAAATGAATGTTGATTTAGTTAATCATGTGTATGTGTTCTTAATCCAGTGGTGTTAGTGGGGTTAGTGGTGGAACGGATCACAAAATTCACGGTTCGTCACTTCGCTTTTCATTTATTACTTAAAGCTCACTGTAAGTTATTCGATAGCTGCTACATCAAAAACTAGCCACAGTTCACATTATTTGACAAGTGAACAGTCAGTAATAAAATAAGAACAAATAGGCTACACAAATTACAAGCAGAGATAACACTAAATAAAGTTACAAAGTCTAACAGTGGTATTCAGGTACAGAAATTAATAATTAAGCAGAAATGTATAAATTTACAAACACTATTTGTTCACTGTAGAAATTGAAATTATATATAATTTAATAGTATATAATATTATATATAATATAATTTCAGAATATCAGATTGCTATAATACTGATGCCACAATATTACAAGGATTATGTGAATAATTATGACAATCATACACTTAGCATAAAACTAAAATCTCTATAAATTATGTAACCTCAGCTAATATACTAAGAGATTTGACTAAGAGTGATATCAGTGAATCAGGTCATTATATGATTATATCTATAACATCATCAATAAGTGACCAACATCACCTGATGTGATTTTCTACTGCATTTATTGCCATAACAAATATGTATCAAAAACACAGTTAAAGCAGCCAGAATAAAACTAAACCCTCAAGGGTCACGAGCCCAACTAAAGCACACACTGATCTCCATCATGGTGACTCTGGCAGTGTTTAGTCCAGGTTTGAAGAATGATTTACGATTGTATTTTCAAACACTAATAACACTATATCATTACAATCTACATCAATCTTGTGTTTATGAAGAGAATGAGTCAGTAGCTGCGTTTACATGGACACTTATAATCGGATTGATGGCTCAATCGGACTAAAAAACCTTCATGTAAACACCTTAATCGATCCGATTGAGCTCGATCCGAATAAAATTTCGATCGGATTGAAAGGGGTGGTTTACACCTTTTGTAAGCCGATCGAGAGAACATGTAAACACTTGATCGGATTGAAAACCGAAACTGAAAGGACTGCGCATGTGCAATGACGTTAAATAAACGTAATGACGTATGACGCGCGAAACGAGCTGTTTTTCCTGTTGAATAAAGTGTCATATTAATAACTTTCTCGTCATTTTAAAATTCTCATTTCACTCTCGCGTCTGTTAGGTGAAGCAGGACAACGTCCCACCAGTCCGTGTTTTGGATTCTCATCCACAGACGTTTGGTTTTGGCCGCGGGGAGGGGCATTTTTATTGCGTGATCAATATTGCAGCACGGCAAAACGGTTAATATGCTCTAAATAATGACCAGAGACGAATTAATATTACGTCTGCTGTTTAAAACAAATAAAGAACCAATAGAGGAGAATATTTATGCGTGAACAGCGGGAAACTCTGTATATTCGTGCAGAGTGCGCATGTCAAAAAATCAGATCCGATTTGAAACTTGTGACATAAACGCGCACATCAACCCGATTACTTTATTTATCATTCATGTAAACACTTGATCGGATTCATCAATCGTATTAATTTCATTCCGATTGTGTCCATGTAAACGTGACTAGTGTTTTAATATGATCATCATGTTTTAGGTGTAATATATGATCCCTGTCAATCAAACTGAACACACTGCATTCAGTCACTTCAATTATTTTTATTATATTTTTATATTTTAAATACCATCACCTTGTTAATATAATTAATATTTCAATAATTAATATATATTAATATCTTCAAATCAATAGTTTCCATGTCAGTTGTTCCATAAGTGCAATTTAAATATTAATAATGACTGAATCAATAATATCCCTTACACAACAAAAATATATTTCTCAATATATTATGTGACAATATATTTCATGTGTCTCCATATATTGTGAAATTTAGATTGTAATATATCATATGATATATTATATAATAATATATTATATATATGCAATAATATATTGCAATATATGGGACAATACTGCAATTATTGCCGTTTTCATATATTGAATAAATACATATTATTATACTATTTAATATATTGTTAGGTATATTGAAATATGTCCCATATTATATGAAATTATATATTGGAAGAGGCATTGTATATATGTGAAAATATATATGTAAAATTATATGAGCTAATATACCTCAATGTACCAGATAATATAATCAGATATATATGCAAACATGTCTTAAATATGTTGAAAAATATATTGATTTATATTACATAATATATTATATATAATTATCATATTATATATTGTATACAATAATTTACCATGTGGGGGAATAAAAAGTGGACTAAAAAATGTTGTAATTGTTGCTGTTAATGATAATTTAATTTATACTCTCATCTACATTTTACAATATATGAATCAATACATAGCCATATATGGTCCATCCATATGGCTATATAATGTAAAATATAATGAATGTCATGCAAAAATTTGATTTGGACTATTGTTAATCAACCTTTCTGTAAACCTATGCATGAGCTTACTTAACTCATAAAAAAAAAACTTTGTTTCAATAAACATACATGCAATAATGTAATACAGTTTTGTTTGTATATCAATGTATTTTAATATATGAATCAATATATAGCAATAGGATGTCCATCCATATATTGTTATATATTTTCAAATATATGAGGCAGTTTCTGATATATTGAAATATATTTTCTAATGTATTGCAATATAAATTCTAGTATATTGCAATATATTTTTGTTTCGTAAGGGATGTATGATTCTGTCAATAGACTCTTCAGAAATGTGTAGCTTGGCTTTTCACAACATGAGAACGTTTTTGTAAAATGTGTTTGTGACTGATCTACAGTCTTCAGGATAATGATTTAAATAGCGAGAGTCACTTTGCATTGTCAGCACATGCTTCAGTGCTCTGAGAGTGTTTATAGTGCTGTGAGTTTAACACTTCATGACTGAGAGCAGAACACAACACACTCTTCATCATCACACAAGACTAAACTACAACTATGAACAACATCATCATCTTCATCTGGACCATTGCACTGTTTATTCAAGGTTTGTGTAATACATGTTTTAATAATGATTTTTTTTTTTTTATGTGAAATATGTTTATATATGTTTATCATATACTGTATATCATCATATATCATTTTCATTTTTGTTTGTGTTTTCTTTCAGAGTGTAGAGGACAGATCACTGTAACTCAGAGTCCATCAATATCAGCAGTTCAACCAGGAGAAGAAGTCAGAATAAACTGTAAAACCAGCAGTAATGTGTATAGTAATAATTGGTTACACTGGTACTCACAGAAACCTGGAGAAGCTCCTAAACTCCTCATATATAGAGCAACAACCCGTAATACTGGAACTCACTCTAGATTCAGTGGCAGTGGATCTGGCAGTGATTTTACTCTGACCATCAGTGGAGTCCAGACTGAAGATACAGGAGATTATTACTGTCAGAGTTATCATGCTATCAGTGGTAAAGCTGTGTTCACACAGTGATAAAGAGTCGTACAAAAACCTCTGTCAGTCAGACGTCACAGTGACTGCACTGATACAGCTGAGAGAAACTGCAGCTGCTGATGGAGGAGCACAAACTACACAATATCAAACCTTTCACACACTTTATTCATTTATTATGATATAAGTAAACATATCTACATATAGTATTTAATTAACACAATCTAATATCTCTTACTAAACTGGTAAAGTCAAGTCCCTTTAATTGCACTTCCACACTTCACCACTAGAGGGTCACATGTCTTGTACATTACTGAGTTCTGCACACCTTTCTATGGAAGCCCAGAACCGGCACCGCAACATGAAACATCTACAATAACTGGTTTTATTGAAATGAAATAAATGATTTAAGATTATTGATTATAACTGAATTCAACCAACCTAAAAACAAGGTTTTACTGAAGCACAACTGTCAGTAGATATAACCTGATTTCTCCAGCTAGATACAGTTACTCAATAAGTTTGATATAATTCCTTTTCCACCTTGAAAATAATAATTTTACAAAAATACAACTATAATTACCCTTACATTTTTACACACAACTTAATCAAGTTTATTCAAAATAACCCCGTTTAGTTGGATTAACAGTGTTGTTCATCATTATGCACACTGTATATAATGAATCTCTATATAAAGTCAGATGTCAGAACTGAACACAGAACACTGAGAGTCACAGTCTGAACACAAGCGCTACTCTTCAGCACAAACACAACGTTCAGTAACAGAGACAACTCTAAATGTCCAACAGAACTGAACATTAAACATTATCATAAACTGCCAACATCTTCCCCGTGTGCTCTACGATCTACTTCAGGCTTATGATGCTAAACGCAGCCCTGGGCCGTGGACCTGGACTTCCCAGCATGCTTTGCAAGGGACTGCATTAGGAGAGTCAATTAAGTGTTCATTTATGTGTTTTACTGTGTATCACTGAAGGGCCTGTTTCTTATTTCATGCAATTTCTCTGCGCCGGTCTGTCAGAAGAAAAAAAAATCTATGCTGACTTTGACAAATGCATTACACCAGCATAGAGACCCCAGCGCCGTCAATTAAGCACAACAAAAACAATAAGCCGCCGATGTACGAGTTTTATGGCCCGTTTAGTAAAAAAATGGGGAAAAAAGTGTGAGATGTATCGGAGATGTATGTGAGATGTGTCGGTCCAAAAAGCACATCAGCCCAGCGGGAAAATGCCCGTCTGCCAGATGTTCAGTCGCTCCTGGTTGGACATTTAGAGGAGTTTCTGTTGTTGAACGTTGTGGTTAGCATTGTGCTGAAGAGTAGCGCTGTCAATTATGATTTTCACTTTGCTGCAACTTAATGTGTTTAATAACCTCAAATAATGATTTCTCATTGAAGCAAAATTCTCCGATCAGCAAAGAGCGGGTGCTAGTGATGGAGAACTGAAGCTGTGTGAAGCACTGAGGCTTTCCTCGTTCATTACTCAAAGCTTTTCAACACACTGCACACTAACAACATCTAAAAGGTGGATAATCTGCAGACGACTCAGACATTTTTGATTGTTTCAAATAATAATTCAGTTACAAAAGCCATATAAGACAATACACATTTAATCTAATAACAGTCTTTCACGTGTCATTACCTACATAATGTATTAATGCATGTGAATAAAAGTATGAAAAAATAATAAATGTACAAATTAATAAAGTAATTGTGTTCTACTGTTGTGTTGTACAGTGAGAGACTGTAGCAGTTTTTAGGGAAATGCTTCGATCAACACAAGCATCCTTATTCACATAAACATTTGCCTTAGTCCTATGAGTTCATAGTCAAGGATCATGCAGGAATATGATCAAGATAAATTAAGATTATTTTGGAACGGTCAGATAAAGTGCTTGTGAACTGGGGATTAATACTGAAATTGAACATGCACAAAACATCATATGTAAATATTCATATTATGATTTATTCTTATCACAGAAGCGAATGACACTGGAGCTGCACAAGGGGTTCGCACTATTTATGAATCAGAATATGAAGCAGTCACGGGGTTGTGTGTGAAAACGAAGCTTCGGACGTCACAGGTAACGTGGTTATGGCAAAACGACTCAAGCTCCGGTACAGTGCGAGATGTGAGATGTTTAGTTTTTTAGACACAAAGCCTCAGTGCCGAACGTCACGTCACTAGCAGGAGCCCAAGTGTCGAATCTGTCCATCCTGAGCTTTAATGGAAACCCTATGTTGGGTGAATGAAACTCAAGTTAAAACAGCATTCCCTTGATTTATGTTACATCAAACTGATTGAAGTCGGTTACAACTACAACATTACAATTTGTTATTGTAACAGGTAGAAATACCTCCTTAAAGCAACAACTGCACATGTTCCATAAATTTAACTATTTTTATCCTGTAATTGGATCAATGTAAAAATGTATTTATTATGAAGGACGGCTCTTCTGTTAACAGGGAGTCTGTAGCTCTGCCGTTGCTCCTTCTTGCGTCGTTGAGGTTGTTGATCCTGAGCTCTGACTGGCTCCCCGCACTGAAGACAGCAACAGTTTAGACGAAATGTAACATCTCTTTAACATCTGCCGACGCTCCCGTCTGGGCTCCCGTAGTTCTGAACGGGCTCAGCGCTTGCCATAGAGAGATACACAAACAACATGGCAGATGAACAAGACCGCGGCAGCACAAGCACACCCGCCAACAACATTTACAAACTGAATCCGCAGGGCTGACAACTCTCACGAGAGACTCACACTATTGTCACTTTTCACACGCTCTCACGCCACACATTCATTTTCTCACGCAGAGAAAAATGGCGAGGCAAAGAGGACACTGACACCGACAGACAAGACAGAGAAGGTGACTATTGATATGAAACAGATTCTCAGCTCTCAGATTCTGTCAATTTAATTACAAAATTCAAACAATAAACACCGTTTTGGCGCTTGTAAATGTGACGTGACAGATCTCAGTTCAAGCGGCACGTGAACCGATCATCTGTTACTCTTCACTACCAGTTAATAGTAAATAAACACGAATATAGGTCATTTGAAAGATACAGTTCAACTTACCGAAATATAATAAAATCGATCGATCAGTGTTTTTCAACCGCGGAAAGATATCCATAAAACAGCTGGAGAACAATACGTCACGTAACGTTACATTTCCCTCAGGAAAGCCATTTAACCATCATGTTAGTTGGACTTAAAAAAATGCTATAGAGAGAAGTATTTTGTTAAATATGATAACTATTACATATTTATTATATTTTTACCTATCATTAAAATATTATAACGTTGTTATTATAAAAACGCATATTTCATTTGAGATGTTATATTTAACGAGACGATATAAATCATAAATCGGATTTTTTGTGAAAAAACCTGTGATTTTTTTTTTTAGGCCATATCGCCCAGCCCTAAACCTAAGTATGTCATTTTCATTTCTATTTCTTCTGTTTTAGCCGTTACATGTATTTGGCCTACAGAAGTTTTGTCAGCTGGTACTGGGGGTTTCTTGGTCGAAGGTTCAGGGTTGTTATCCCTTCATGGGTCGTCCTTCTAATAAGGACAGAGTATGCAGACAGTACCTACACTGGTTTTCGACCTGTGCTGGATTGAAGCGTGACACAAATCCTGCAATGGCCTCTTCCATGGACGGCACAGAGAACTCAGCTCAAAGATCCTCTGGAATGGTGATCTTCTGCAGCTCTTCAATAAAAGGTGCTGGGTCAGGGACCACACTCTCAAATGTGAGGGTGATAAGTTCATTTACATAGCTTGTGGAATATATGAATTATTTCATCAGTCCAGGTGAAACTTTGTGTGAACATTTTGTTTTTAGTGAGGTGAGCCAGTCTGAGCACAGCTGGACCGACAACCTCAACGACGTTAGCACAAGGAGGAGCAACGGCAGAGGTACAGTTAATTTAGCATAAAAAAATGATCAATTAAAAATGCTGTGTTATGATTTAACTGTTGTCTGTTCCCCCAGATGATCCCATTGCCCAGCTGCACCACTTTCTGCAGGAAGTTTTTGGAGAGAGCCGTTCACACCCTTATCCGGCCGCAGAGCGATTCTGAAGCAGGCTATAATAGCTACAGTTCTTATTCTGTTAGACTGCTATATACCCACTGCTATAAATATGAATATTTCTGTTGAGAAAACTTATGATTTGACACTATAAATATCAATAAAATTTAATTAAATTAATGTTGCATGTTGTTGTGATAATTTTTTTACAGAATGTCGGCTCAATTTTCCTTCGTTTGAGGCTGTATCTCCCGTTCTTCTCTTTAGGGAAGGCCAGTTTAAAGGCAGGATCTCCCAAAGCACTTGTTGACTGTGGCCGGTTGGCATTCTCATTGAAGTGGAATCAGAGCCGGCGCCAGCCGAGCGCTGATGAGGGGGCGTCTCAAATACCGAGAGTTCACATTAACACACGTCACCACTTTTTGCCAGGGTCGGTATTCTCCCCACCACTTTTTAAAACATCTTCGCGGCTGGCACGGATGTACCAATACAAATTAAAACCTCCAGTTAACTAGCAGAGCATTTATTTTGTTCGTTTGTCAAATTAGAGTCGTTCACTACGGAAGAGCCAAGCAATAATAAAAAAAATAAAACCATCTCGAGATTAAAGTCATTATAATGCGAAATTAAAGTCGTTAAATTTCGAGAAAAAAAACTTGAAATACAATCTTGAGAATAAAGTCATTACATATCGAGAATAAAGTCGTTGTGTTTCGAGAAAAAACTCGTTAAATTTCGAGAAAAGAAACTCTCAATACAATCTTGAGAATAAACTCATTACATTTCGAGAATAAAGTCCTTGTGTTTCGAGAAAAAAACTCTTTCAATTTTGAGAAAAAAGTCGAAATAATCGTGAGAATAAACTCATTAAATTTCGAGAATAAAGTCATTGTGTTTCGAGAAAAAAAGTCGAAATGAAATGTAGAGAATAATGCATTCGATCAGTGTTCATTGCATAGCCTACTGATAGAGGACATGGCAGAGTTGGATCACTTAGTCAAGCTATATTTTAGGCTTTCTTTCAGTAACAAAGAAATACTATCAATTTTAGCTAATTATGACA